AATTACACTACATATGATTTCTTTATGTCCCACACAAAAAATCTAAATTAAATTTAATTCAAGATTATGAATGATTACATGCGCCACCTCCAGAGAAAAAGATGCTGTTCTGGAGCTGTATTACTTTCTTTCCATGTAATATAGCAGCATAATTTGAGAAAAGTTTACATTTTTCCTTATATGGTGAAAACAGTGGTCTCACAAACTGTGTGGTTCTCAACCCTTTTCTTAATTGTCTTTTAAAATTTTTTTTAAACAATTTCTTGTTGTTTCAAACCTGTGTGAATTTTTTTGTGTGTCTGTGAATTATAAGACGGTGACATTGTGGCTGAGTGGTTAGCACTGTCACCTCACAGCAAGAAGGTCACTAGTTCGAGTCCCAGCTGGGTCAGTTTGGAGTTTGTATTTTCTTCCAGTGTTGGTGTGGGTTTCCTCCGGGTGCTACGGTGTTCCCCACAGTCCAAAGACCTGCGCTATTGGTGAATTGAATAAACTAAATTGGCTGTAATATATGTGTGTATGAGTGTTTCCCAGTACTGTATTGCAGGTGAAAGGGCATCCGCTGTATATATATATATGAAGAAATTATTGCTTTTTTGTAGGGGAGAGGGTAAATTATCCCTTTAAAACATGGTCTGATTTGTTCCCTCTTAATCTCCCAATGTTAGCGCAGTGGTTCGTGAATAATAGAAATGAAAAGAGTTTGCCCGTATCGTCTCAGGGCTCGAGTCGTGAAGGTCTTTACGCATTTGCTGTGTGACCCTCTCCATCCAGCGTCCTCGGTGACGTCACGCTCACACGTCCGAAGCGCGATGCTGCTGATGTTTTTCAATGAATGAGATCCCCCTCCCATCCGCATTACTATCACTACGGGCTGTCTATAAATTGCGAGCGATGGGAGAACCCGTTAAATTTCACAAGTGTCATCGACGGCTAAAGAGTGAGTGGATACATCCAGCGGAAGACATGTACAAATGCCATTCAGCATCACTTCTCGTCGGCTGAGGTAACCAGTAATGAACTGAAGTTAGTTAACGCTGCTACTTTGGTGATGAAAGCCGCTGAGAAGTTTCTTGAGGTGAATTTGGACTGCTTTTATACGAGGTAAGTGAGTGCTTGCCAGTCAATTTTGGACAAAGTATGAATATAATAAATAATAATTAGACTAAAAACGTAATAACTTTATTATCATTACATTTTACGATAAAATGAAATCGAGAAAATTGAAATTCATTCGTGATTTTTGGCGTTTCAATAGCCTTGCCGGTTAGCTATATTATCTCGTCTATGTGAGCTATTGAAAGTTACTGCAGTGTGACTCACTTTTGCGCACATGTGCAGTGACAGATCAGAAACCAAGGAGTCTCTTGGAAAGTCGGACACATAGCAATCTATATTTCAACAAATCCGATTTTCTAAATCCCATAAAAATATGTTTTATGCTTTGCGCTATTTTACAAATGATTTAAAACTCGCTTCATTATGAGTCATTAAAAGAAAATAAAACTGTATTGTATTACACATTTGTATTGACCTACACATTTTATGATTAAAATATTTGTTGATAACATACGAATACCGAATAAATGAGCCAGGGAAATTTTCAAGGTTGTACGTTTTCCATTCTATAGCCTTCACAAACGTGATAGAAACGCTGTTATACTGTCATATTTCAGATTCACATAGCTAGCTCGCTCTTATAGCCTCCTACTTCACAATAGACCTATTTGAGGAAAAGAGTTTAACAAATCTAGTAGCCTATATACAATCGCCTATATATACGCGCCACTTAAAGCGCTTGAACCTCACACTCGTTGATATCACGCCTGCATGGGTTCAGCTGTTTTTCCGCTGTCCGCTTGACATGATTTATGTTATCTGCTTGTCACTTGCCATTTCCGAGTCACACACTTCCGTTGGGGGGGAAGAAGACGAGCTTACAATGTCGCTCTCCAGCTTCTTAATTTTGAATTTACAATATCGTGACGTACGTTTCAGATGAAGTCAATCCTGCGTCATTCCTGCGCACACGCCGACGATTTCCAGCAGCCCGTCGGGATAACTTAAAGAGACAGAGCGCGTGCGGCGCATGCGCATCCGTCCATCTCGCGCCCCACGAGGGGTCGCAATGCGGGAGGTGGGGGGATTCTGTGGGGGTGGAAGCAACGTGGAGAACATCCCAAACTCTCTCCACACACACATAAGATTTGCAGAATAAATCGGGCAGGGATTTAGTTATCTCCTTACTGACATCATCAGGGATTGCCCTTCATTTTGGAGGGATAGGAGAATGTAAGGAGAAAAAGGCTTAAATGAAATCTTCAGATGGGTGCTAGTATTGCAGGGAGGCACGAATAAGTTAGAAAAAATAAAGTTTCCTTTAGGTCTGAAAAACATAAACCTTTTGGTTTACAGAACATCAGTGCTCTCCTCTTGAAGCATGCACCACCTGACTTAATTTGTGCACCGAAAAACTGATTCAAAGAAAATTTCTTGGATTTACTTTTTTTTTTTTAAGTTAGGGGGTTGTAAACAATTTATTTGGGCTGAATTTAAACGTTCACATTAAATTGAACATTACTAAACTTAATTTGTTTAAATTCAACACATAAATAGTTTGCAACAATTTTGCAGACATAATTTTTTAGGGTACTTAATAATTCAATCTAACAGATTTTCCACTGTTAGCCTTCTATTTAAGCACTAAATTTATCAAAATAAATAAATACATAAAACTAATGAAGCACTAATAGGCTAATCTGGCTACTGAAAACTCACGTCAGCACCATGGAGAGCACACATGGTTTCAAGAAGTAAACAAACCATAATCTTAGCTTGAAACATAAAGGAATACCAGTAGATGAAAACTCTGCTATAGTAAAGTGGTGGAGGGATTATGTAAAACTTGCAAAAATAATTGTTGATTTATAATCTTCTTAATTATAATACGTTGTTGGACAATCTTAAATTAATGATACTTGAATGTAAAATACAAATTCAACATTTCTAGTAACTAACTAGATGAGAAAATTGACAGTGTGAGTCTCTAAAGTTTATATTGTAGAAGAAAAAACTGTTCAATTATCACCAAGTCCATGTTTTACTCATAAATTGAAAATCCCAATTATGAAAGGAACCAGATTTAATAAAGTCTGATTGCTTTCTGTATATTTTGCAAACATATGTAACTGATCCCTATTTATTTCATCACCACAATGAAAAAGTCTCACTTTCATGATGTCTTAGTAAATCAGATTACCCTAACATATTTTGTGAACGTTTGAGCAGTGAAATTATTTTGCAGTGAAAGTAAAATCTCTTTCAGGGTCACAACAAGCAACACTTTAGTTTTTCCTCTCTCTGATGACGTCACTGCACATAACATCAACATCACGGACGTCAGAGCGTGTTACTGAATTAGGCTTGCATAACCATTATGCACATCACAACCAGCAACAGCTAATATCCTGAGAGTGAGTCAGGCTGATATCTCCACTGCAATCAATACAGAGTTGGGGAAGCGGTCCATGCCATTATGGGCTCTTTTGGTCTCACTCCGGGCCAGAAAAACTGCTTTTCTATTTATAGCTGACACCTGAGATTCTTGCTCATTGCGAATGCATTCTAATAATAATTTTTTTTAATGTTTAAAGCAATTGTAAATGCTTTATAAATCATAATTTATTTTTTTATCAATTATACATTTTCACTAGCAAACATGCCAAAGATATAATTTAAAAGATAAAAATGCAACCAGCTTCAGCACATCAAAATCAATTTAGTTTCTTTTGTTTTGCGATGTTTTGCATTACTTGTTGTACTAGCTAAAGTTTTCAATCTTGACACTGTCTTCATGCTTTTGTTGGATGAGATTTCTGATGTTTTCGTCTTACAGCACCTTGGTCAGCACTCCTTGCTTTTAAGCTGCTATACAAATACATTTGACCTTGATTTTAAAAAAAATAAAAAATATATATATATTTAATATATATATATATATATATATATACACACACACACACACACACACACACTTTTGTTTAATACCAACATATATTATAGAATTATTACATAATTTATATAATTTATTGTAATTAAATATGTATTATATTTATTAAACATATTAAATAAGTTATTGTGTGTGTGTGTGAGAGTATGTTTGTGTGTGTGTGTGTGTATAAACATTCAATTAAATATTTTAGTAAAATAAATTTCAAAATATAGGAAATAAATGCATCTAAAATTAGTGGATATAAATGCAACTTAAATTAAAACATTTACTTTAGTATTGATTTTAATATCATAAAACTTTGTAATAGAGTTTCAAAAGTCAGATAATACATGGAAAAAGTATATTCAAAAGACACGAATGCAGAGTCAGTGCTCAAAGCACCTTCAATTGTACATCTATTTTATTATAAACAAAGCTATAAAGTATTATATTTTTGCATATACATTAGTCAGTACTAAAGCCAAATCTGGAGCTTATTTAACAAAATAACTTACGATAACGGCCCAAAAACTAGTACACCTAATTGTATATGTTGCAGAAAAATATTAAATACAGATTTAAAAAAAAGAGGAAAAATCAGAAGCAAAAAATTGGGGAAATTTAGTTGGAATATTTTAGGTTGTATTATATTGTTTATATATAATATTATTATTTTTTTTTTACAATATTTTGATTGAATTTAATTGTATTATCTTTAAATTTCTAAATATGTTTGATGACTAAAACATTATTTTAATAAATATATCTGTTTAATATATCTGTATTGTTTAAATGCACCAAAATACATTGCCTATATTCACTGAGAAATAAATAAAAATATTCATTTTCAAAATGGGGTGTACTCAATTATGCTGAGCACTGTATATATACATATAACCTAAATTTTACAATAGTCTTTTTCTCTCTCTTTAATGTTGCAGAGTTTTAAAAATAATTTTCAAGGCTCAGACAAACCATTTACACGGAAAAAAAACTGAATGCTTGAAAAGTCAGTGCATCAATACCTTGGCTCTAGACTGCTTACTGCTAAATGTGTCTGAAAGTACAGTAACAGTCTACAGTCATGGCTACTGACGTCTGGCAACCTTCCACAGAGGATTCAAGTGTTCAGAGAACATGAAGAATCTGTGAAGTCCAGGTCAGTTCAGCTTTAAGAGCAGAAATGTGTGTCATCCACTCTGAACATGTGGGTTGCGGTGCAGCCGGTCAGCCAATCAGATACGCCCGTCTACTGTTTCCACTGCCAACCCTCCTGCTGTCTCCATGGCGACCGTGGCATTAGATTGTTACTGTAGGAACAGAATTTTTGGTAACAGTCTACAGCCATGGTCGCTAGTGGGCAGAAACACCAGCATCTACCCTATATTAGGATTCAGTCATCATACAGGGGTCATTTTTATTGTTATATCTAGTGCTAATTTTTCATTGTGTGGATAGTTGATGTTTTTGTTTAAGGAAATTTTAAGCAATGCAAATGATTTGTTTGATGAATTTATTTAATGTGTCCCAATTTGCAAACACTACAAATCTTATATTAATTTCCTTGCATGCAAGTGAACAGGTAAAATAAAGGAGTGCAAAATCCCACCTTCAGATTTAAAGCCAATAATAAAAGGCTATATTCTTAACAAATGGCATGCAGAATGTGGATCATTGCTGAGAAAATAAACTTAAAAAAAAAAAAAATCCAGCCTGAAATAGGAAAAAAAAAAAAAAAAAAAACTTTCTTTTTTAACTCAAGACATGATAAGATACAGTACATGCCGTATCGGACACACAAGACTCACACATGAACATTTACTCAAAGTAGAACTCCCAAAATGTCAATATTCCAACAGAAACCAAACTATTAACCCTTTAAATGCCTGCTCTATCAAATATTTGACCATATTTTGTCTGTTTTAAATAATGACAGTTAGTCATTTGTTTATTTATGTTCTAATGCAATACCAGCAGCATTGGCTATATTCATGACAAAACATGTACTAAATATACAATATATAACATGCAATCTTATCATTTTCTTAACAAACATACCTTGTACAAAAAAAAAAAAAAAAAACATACAAATAGTAACAACACTGAAACGAGTCATGTACAATCTTTTAGATTGATTAAATATAAATAATGTAATATTGCTCTGAAGGCACCTTTTCAAACATTTCCCCTAAAAAATCTCCTGAATAAAAACCTTCTCTAACATCATTTTAAAATACACATTCCGTTAAAATGTTTTATCGTCAAAATAATGACACAGGTCACAAATAGGTTTTTCTTCCACTTTCAATAAATATGCTATGCGTGTGAAAGTCTTGAGTGTCTGATTCGACAAATATGTAAAGTAATGGTTTTAAAGCATGAGATAACTTTTAATATTTTTTATACATTTTAACATACACTACTGGTCAAAAGTTAGGGATTTGTATTTTCTTTATTAATTAATTTATTTTTTATGAAAATTATTCTGTTCATCAAGGTGGCATTTATTACATGTAACAAAAAGTTGAATTGTTAAATATTTATTTTAAACAGCTTTTCATATTGTATGTAGTTTCAAATGTAAATATTGCTTTTATTACTATTACCATTAATAATAATGATAATAATAATAAATATTATTATTAGAGGGATTTCTGAAGGATCATGTGACTCTGAAGACTGGAGTAATGAAGCTGAAAATTCACCTTTAAAATCACTGGAATAATGATTAAATGAAATGATAAACTACTTTTGACATTTATAGTGCAATAACATTTTACAATTCGTACTGTATTTTTGAAGAAGTAAATGCAGCCTTGATGAGCAGGAGAAGCTTATTTTAAAACATTTAAAAATTGTACTGACTCCAAACCAGTTGACTAATAGTGTACATTAGGATTTGCTCTATTTAATTTTATTTACAAAACAAAATCTAGGATTTCCATACCTTGTTATTCAATGTATAGTAACAGTGGTTTTTGTATCACACTACAATTTAATATACATTTGCTTTGTTTGCCCTAAGTATTGTAAAACAATCAAATTGTAATAAATCTTTTATACAAACATTGTAATTAGTTTGTCATTTTTATTTCTGAGCAAACAATAATCACTATTATATATTTGATGAAGTTTACAGAAGACAGCTATATGTATATGTTTTTATACCACACTAATTTTAAATAATGTTGCTTTATGCTGTCTGCATTCATTAATAAATTCATTATTTACTTTACCTTTAAGTTTGGTATCAAAGTTCAAAAGGAAATTTAAAGAAACAAAACTACTTAGAGTTACATTTTGTTTTTTAAAATAATGCATTGCATGTTTACCACAATGTACTGAAGACAAACATATAAATATTTCAACAGAACATTATTTTATATGCCACATGAACTTTGCAAGGATTATTTAGAGCAAGAAACATTGTATTACATATTAAATTATTTTATATAAATGCATCTTATGTTGTTGAAATATCTTAATTAAAAATAATCTTAAAGCAGACTGTAAAATATATTCTAATCATGTTTTAATATTGTAAAGTTTTAAAATGATTTACTGTATATCTGACTGTTTATGAAGTATATGCAAAATACATCACTGATTATTTATGTCACACTTTGACATTTTATTTTTCAAAAATTATTAAAGCATTTGACAATTGAAATGCATTTACCAATTACTTGCAGCAATATAATTTCTATAATATTTCTTTGTAAACTTAATTTGACATTTTTAATTTTTCTGTCTAATATATTTCCCAGAGTTTTGGAGTTTGTTATTTACATAATGTATATTTACTAAATTTAACACCGCACTTTTAATTTCCCTGACAGTGTGTGAATCATTGCTTAAACCAATTACCTAAAAAAACTGTGCAATTCCACAAATAAGTACTAAGTAATATTAACTATTAACAACATGTTGTTACAATAGTTTAATTGTTATTACATTAAATACAGGTGATTTAGCATGTTAAAATAACTTGTAAAAAGCCAAATATGATACAATGTTTTAATTTATCAAATATAAAAATCATTTTAAAACCTCATTCAATTTAAAAATCGAAATCATTTATATTCAGTGTTTTAAAACACTGTAAATGTACCACGTTATAGTATAGAATAAAATAATGTTATTAAATGATATTGTTTATTTATACGCTATAAACATTTGGTGCAGTTTAACAGAGATTATTGCAATTGTCTCAAATCAGAAAAGATACTAAAACTAAAAAGACATTTATATCGAATATTGTCACACTAACATTGCCCATGCCCACATTTCTGTAAGAATATTACCAACTGCTCTTCTTATATAAACAATGTCCATCATGTTTATAATGCAATGCAATTTAATTGGTGATATCGTTCTGTAGACTGTAAATAAAGCATCTTTATTTCAATTCATTGACAATCTTTTCTGTTAATGGGAAAAGTAATTCATTTGTGCAGGTAAGTAAGTGATTTGTAATTAATAATGACTCACTTTGGAGACAAGTCAAAATCATGTTGCGCACAAACTAACACACACACACACACACACACGGTTTACAGGGACATATTAGCGTAATGATATCCATTATCTGAATCCCAAAGCATAAACAAAAACATGAGGAAGCATGCACACATTTACAAAGCCATTTGTGATTTGTTTGTGAATTTATTTGTATTTTCATTATGTGCGTATAACTAAATGTGAATCAGCATTGAGCAAATTTTGTCATGGGATATATTAAATGTAATATGTATGTCTGTTAATGTATGTACAAAATAATAATAAAAAAAGCAAATGTTATCGTTTCAGTGTTTTACCTTACTCAGTAATGCTACAGCAATTGGTATATTCTCAGTGTTTCTGTGAAAACGTGATTCATTAAATCAGAGAGAGTGTTTTCTGTGTCTGAATCTTGAAAGAGTCATGTTTTTTTCAGCCAATTTTATAGTTTTATATATCCGGAAAATGCATTTCAGTACATTCAAATAATAAATAGAAGGTTTTTATTGTACCTGAGAGGAACATTTCATTTTAGCAGAATGAACAGGATTAGATGCAACATATTTACTCACTGTACTCAGCTGATAAAATTCCAAAAGAAGTCTATTTAACTCTATATAAATCAGATCAGTCGAATATTAGTGCATTTGCAATATCATCATTTTCAGTGCACAATTATTGACACAAAAGCCAAATATTCATTCAAATGTAAAAATTCATTTAAAACAATAAATCTGTGAAACATACAAATATATTTATGAATCATATTACTGCATTAAAAACCCACACTTAAAAATAGATGAATTAATAGATGACTCAAATGGCTTTGCTCAACACAGTATTGAATTGTAACAATTTAAATCACTTTCACAGTTTGTAAACTAAAATACCTTGTAGTCAGAAACTACTTTATATACAGTAGTAAAGGTGATGTGAAAAATACAGAAGATGGCTTATAGAGCACAGATAAACTGTTTCACATCTAACATGTGTTGACAGCTATAATTTACACAATAACTATTTTAAACATAATTAGTTTGTGAGTGTGTTGCAGACGTGAGTGTTAAAGAGCATGAGTTCTTTCTGTACAGTTTTCCTTGTGCAGTAAAAAAAAAAAAAAAAAAAAAAAAACATACACCCCTTCCCATTAATGCATAATTTCTTTTTGCTTTGAGAATCAGTAAATCTTTTCATCTTCTGTATTAATCGTGCATGAGTTTTGCCTCAGTTGTGTTCAGTGTGAAAAGATGGTTCTGAAAATTTACAGCCACAGTTACAATGTGGCCAAACATGAAGAACCAAACAACAACAATTAAAACCTTAAAAAAGGTTCTTTAATGGCATTGCTGATTCTATGAGGGAACTTTAACATTGACAAAAACTTTTCATGACACAAAAGCTTCTTTAAATTATAGATTGATATAATATTTTTCTTACAAATAAATAACTTCATTTTAAAAAATGTTTCTTTACATGAACAACAAAAAGGTTGCTCTGTGTAAAATGATCTGCTCAGGACAAAAAAGGGAACTTAAAAGTAAAAACTGTTGCGAATCACAAGTAAGACTTACAGGTATGAATATTTTGAGGGAAATTTGATCAT